CTCTTAACCAACGCGCCACTCGGCCGGCCCACAGACAACCTAATTTTAAAATGGGCAAAAGAGTTGAACAGACATCTCACAGGCTAAGAAACACATGAATTGAATTAAATTGAATTGAATTGAATTATTTAATTCAACATGAATAGATGTTCAACATTATTAGTCATCAGGGAAATATAAATTAAAACCACAATAAGATACCACTAATCACCCACAAAAATGCGCTAAAATGAAAAAGACTGACAATACAAAGTTTGGGTGGAGCAACTAGAACTCTCCTAAATTTCAGAAGTGTAACATGATTCAACTACTTTGCAAATAGTTTAGCAATTTTTACAATGTTAAACATATACTCACCGTGTGACCCAGAGATTCCACACTTAGATAGTTACCCAAGAGAAAGGAAAAAATATATACACAACCAAGACTTGTACACAAGTGTTCGTAGCAGCTTTGTTCATAATAGTCCCAAACTGGAAATAACCCAAATGTCTAAGAACAGATAAGTGGAAAAACAAATGATGGTATATCTGTACAATGGAACACTATTTAGCAATAAAAAATATGACCTCCAGTAGGAATGATAACATGGTTGAATCTCAAAAGCATTACGCTGATCAAAAGAAGCCAGGAGCGTATGTTGCATGATTCCATTTATATGAAATTTAGGAGAAGCACAGCTCATCTATAGTGACAAAAAGCACATTAGTCACTGCCTGGGGCCGGATAGGATGGCAGATTGTCTGGGCAAGGGTGAGGGAACATTCTTTCGGGGGTGGGTATAGAAATGTCCTATAGCTTCTGATGGGGGTGTGGTTACATGGTTATATACATTTGTCAAATGCATCAGACTTTCCACTCAAAATGGGTGCATTTTATTGTGTGTAAATTATGCCTCAATCAACTTGAATTTAAAAAAAAACAATATTTTATGTCATTGGGAGTAGAGAATGATTTTTTGAATAAGGTAGAAAAATGATAAACCACAAGCGAGAAAGAGAATTCGCCTGTATTAAAAACTGGAAACTTCTGCATATCAAAAGACATCACCATTAATGTCAAAAACAAACAAACCAGAAAAGAAACCAGCCCCAGGCTGGGAGAAGATATTCACAACCCATATAACCGAAGTGTAGGATCCAGGATATTTCACAAACGGCTATAAATCAATAAGAAAAATACAAATAATCTAATAAAATAATGGTCAAGGTATCATCAGGCAAATCATAGGTGAGAAAAACTAAATAACCCATAAACATGTGAAAGATTTTCAAGCTCACTGTTAAACGAGGAAAGATAAATAAAAATGGCAAAATGGGACCGATCACCCGATAACACCAACTGTTGGCAAGGATGCAGGGAAATGGAAATAGTTTACACTGCCAGAGGAAGTGTATCTTTGTTGAACAATTTGGAGATGAATTTGGCAAGAGCTGGGAACGTTGAAGATGCCCTTCCCCTTCGCTGGACAGGCCCTCCTTTGGCCATATACCCCACCTCCTGAAGGCCAGGTGCACGAGGAGACATTAAAATGTGCTCGGCATTGTGTATTAGCCCCAAAGTGGGAATATCCTAAATTTCCATTAACTGAGCAATGGCTAAATAAAAGATCATATAATGGAATATACTTAGTAATTAAAATGAATAACATATAAATGACAAGATCTAAAATATATATACTTAGGGCCGGCCGAGTGGCGCGATGGTTAAGAACTCGCTTGGGATGCCAGAGGGCCCCGGTTCGGATCCCACATGTGAGGGCCAGTGACACTGCCCTCTACAGCTAAGATGCTGAACAACAGCTCAACCTGGAGCTGGGCTGCCGTGAGTCGCCGGCGACGGCATAGGCTGCAGCCCCTGTGGCAGTGGGTTGCCATGGGCTACCGTGTGTAGCCAGCAGCCAGCGTGAGTGGCCAGCAGCCGCAGTGAGCAGCCGTCCAGAAGCCGGCGACTGATCTGCCTCGCCAGGGAAGAGCGCAATGATGGTGCCAACTTGGGCCAGTGAAGCAGTGTCCTCCACAACTAGATTGAAGAACAAAACGACAGCAACTTGTCTGTTCCCCTTCCCCTAATTCCCCAGTACTGTTCCCATCCCCCCAATTACCCAATAAAAATCTTTAAAAAAAATAAATAAAATAAAAAATAAAATAAAAAATATATACTTATAGTAAATGTATATTAAATAGATACCGGGGGTGCCAAAAAAATGTATACAAGTGGACACTTTGGTCAACGTTGCTCAAGCAGTAGTTCACCATAATCAGAAGTGCCTGGACGCTGACGGTAACCACTTTGAGCACCTCTTATAATTGCAGAAGTCAAACGTGACTTGTATTCATCTTTTGTTATTGGTATATATTGAGTATTACAATTTTAATACAGTTTTATCCTTTCTTAAAATGTATATACTTTTTTTTGGCATCTTATGGGGAGAGGGTGGAAAAGCAAGCTACAAAAATATATATACTGTCCAGAAAGGGAGGTGCTTAGCAGGAGCCTGAGAAGGGGTCTCCACGTTATGGAGGTAGAAGGGGGCAGTGTTGGGGTGAGCCGCTGAAAACTGCATGCAGATAAGGCGTCTCCTAGACCCTAGGACTTCCCAATAGAGACCCAACCCAAGCTCTCCATCAGCAACACAGGTCTTTTGAACGTGTGGGCTGCTGCTGCCCCGCCGCCTCACCCGGAGCAATGAGATAGGAACAAGCGCTGGAAAGTGCTGTGATCCCACACAACCTGAGCGCTGCAGAATGCGAGATGAGCGAGCCCACAGGGCCTCCAGCACTACCCCACATCACAGCCTCGCCTTGGTTTTTCTTCTCCGCTGCCATTCCACTTACTTTGGCTCCACGGGTTTGCTTTGAGGTTTGGCACTTTCACATTTTTAATGTAAACTCAGATTCTTAAGACATCAGCATCAAATTCTTTAAAAATAAGTAAATAACACACAAACATAAAAATCTACTTCCTCATTTTCCACCTGCCCTTTGTCTCCACAAAGGACATGCATATAAGAGTAGCCTGTGGGTTGTAACGTTTTTGGGGTGTTTTTTTTTCCCCAGAAGAAAAACAGAGCTATCTGCTTCTTTCTTCCCACACAGCTCTAACCTGGATAATTCCAAACTAGCACTGGAAGTGGAGCCCTGCTGTGACGTCTGGGCCCCTGTTGGAGGCTGGGGGACAGAAAAGTGGGGGGAGGACACCTCTGAGGTTTGTCTCTAACCACAACCCTTCTGTATCTGTCTTTGTTTGTCTTCTGTGGGGAATTTAGAAAGCATCAGCATCTGAACTGGGGAGGATCAGCAAAGCAGATAAAGGCCCTTTTTGTACCAATCAGAGAGTGCTGCTGAGAAATGGGAACTGCTTCCCTGCCTCCCCACGAGAGCCAAATGTGTTCCTTTCGCCCTTGCAGATCCCTCTCCACCTGGCTCTCTGCCCTCAAGCCTGTCCTGTGTGGACCGCATTAATGGGCTCATTTGCTTCTGGTTTCCAGTTGGGTCCAGCCCCTGGGACTCGACTGCTCGAGACTGGAAGGAGAGAGGAGGAGTGAGAGGGTATTTACTCCCTACGGGTCACCCTCATTGAAGGTCACTGCCCAGAGGGGCTGTCACACGGCCCTTGTTTTCTTTCACACTCACACCAGATTCTTGTGACCATATTCGAAAAGTAAAATAAACCTGCACTGTCATTTTCTTAGCAATCTCTATTTCTCTGTATTAGGGGGGAAAAATAACTCAGTCCTTCTTCCTCTGGTGTCTTTCTTATTTACTTTCACACAGAACCCTTCACTTCTGACATTTCTGGTCACCAAATATGTGGGGTGTTTTCCTACATCAAGCAATTCTGCAACACCAGCTGGGTGCCTTACAATTGAACTCAATTCTGACACTATCTACCTGGAAATGGCACCAGGTCCCATAGGGTAAGGGCTCAGTCCCACAAGGCTGCCCCCACCCCACTTCAGATGCCAATGGCAAATCCAGGTTGCCACCTGTGCTTCTGACCAATCAGCTGTAAATCAGAACTTCCCTCCTTGGGTTTGATTAATGATAACCTAAAAATAAAAGGCAAGAAAGAAACAACAAGCATTTTTTTGAGATTCAAAAAGAGTAGCTATTCAGGAAGCACTGATTCAGGCAGAAGCCCGAATAATGTTCTGATTAGGAGACAAAGGCAAGGGGTATTTTTGAGAAAGGGAAGGGGAACAATGACATCAACTAGAAGAAAGGCATTTCTTTTAGGATAGTGACACTAATTCTAAACAATGTTTTTAATTTTCAATCCAGCAGTCATCAGTCAGATAGTCATAATATCTACTTTCTTGTTATCCTTGCAAACAGTTCTTTGGGACACAGTGTTGCCTTAAGCCCAGCCCAAAGGTTATTTTGTCCTATTTTAACATTCCAAAGGTTTGAGGCAGAAAGTGGCTCCATTTATATTCTTTTTTTACGTTAATTTGCTAGAGTGGCTCACAGAACTCAGGAAAATTCTTACTAACATTTCCCAGTTTATAAAAAGATATGATAAAGGCTACAGGTGAACAGCCAGGTGAAGATAACGTATGGTCGAGCTCTGGGAGGGTCCTTCTGTCCTGTGGAGTTGGGATGTACCGCCTTCCAGGTATGTGGATGTGTTCATCAACCCGGAAATCCCCTGAACCCCATACTTTGGGATTTTTATGGAGGCTTCCTCACATAGGCATGATCAATCTTTAACTTTATTGTCAGTGCTTCTCCCTTTGAAGATAGTGGGGGGGGGGTGGGGAGGGGAGGCAAGGCTGAAAATTCCAAGCCTCTAATCATGGCTGGTCTTCCTGGTGACCAGTCTCCCTCCAGAGGCCCACTCAGAGTTGCCTTATTAGAACAAAAGACATTCCTATCACCCAGGAAATGACAAGGGTTTCAGGAGCCCAGTACCAGGAACCAGGGACAGAGACCAATATATATTTTCTATTAGCTCATGTGCTGTTTCCTTCTACTCATTCATTCACAGCATCTACTTACGCAACTACTGTGGTCCAGGTGTTGAGAGGATGGCCATGAGGAGTGGGAAGCAGTCCCTGCCTTCAAGGAGAATATGGTGTATCCGGAAGACAAGTGTAGTTACAGAGCTGTGAAGACCAGGAAGAGAGGAGGAGGGTGTCTGCCCATTGGCCCATCTGAAAAGCATCCTTTCAGTCTTTCTCTATCACAAAGTAACGATAAAATGAGAAAAGTGCTTGCTGGTCACTTGGCATTCCTACATAATATCAGCCACTCAGGATTTACTGAGCACTTGCCTCTCATGAAACCTGTGTTAGATGCCTCGGCATTGGGGGGGTTGGTGTCAAGTTTGGGGACAACCCTTTCCCTGCCCTTTTGGAGATTACAGGCTGTTGGGGGATGTCAGGTGAGCGGGGCTGTCTGATGAGGAAGGGTTTCCGAAGCATTGCTGGTGAGGAAACAGCCAGTGGGCACCAGGGAGAGTGGGGAAGGCCATGGGAAGGCTGGGTTCCCTTAACGCTCTTCTCATCCAAGGAAGGGGCTCTGTTAGCGCAAGTCCATGACAGTGTTTACAAAACAGAACGGTTTAAACAAATATGATACACTACTGCTGGACTCTTGAGTCATCCAGTGACTAATTAGTTCCTGATGAGGTATCAACTGCTAGGAAGTTACCACCTGTTCCCCCACGGGGAGCCGTGGGAGCAGCCCCATTCAAGGAACTGTGGGCAGGCCCAGGAGTGATGCATGCAGACTGCCTTTGTGGGAGAGTTTGGTCAACTCTTCCTTCCCTTAAAAACCAACAACAAAACCCATAATCACAAGCCAATTTACCAACAAGTGTTACCTAAATACCTGCCATCTTTGCCCCTGCAGCTACCCCCATCAAAGCCCTGCCCTGAGGGCGCCCTGCACCACCTGATGAAAGATGACCCCTTTCATGGGAGGTGGTCAGCGCTGCAGTCACAGAACTGGGCCCTAATGGCTGGGTGGAGTTTGGAGAGGTGGCAGGTAGTAATAATAACGATGCCACTGCCCAACACATGTTAGCTGTGTCCCAGGCACTGCGACGAGGGCTTCACATGGATTATCTCATTTAGTCCTTCGTTGAGCCCTGTGAGGTAGACATCGTCCTACCCTTACAGTAACCTGCAGGTGACACAGGTAAGTGATCTGTCCACGGTGACTCTGGAATGTTGACCTCTTCGCCATAGTGCCAGATGGGCTTGAGGTCCTGGACAGAGGGCACAGCACGGGCAAGAGGTGGGACTGCACAGAGAGCATAAGGGGAGGGGCAGGAAGCCAGATAGGCCAGACTTCAGGCCTGGCGAGGGGTGTGGACTGGCAGGAGGAACCCTGTGGTGAGGGGTCAGGGCTGGAGGGGGAGGTGGGAGAGTAGGGAGAGCCCAGGAGGGCAGCCTTGTGGTGCTTCAGGGAGACGTACGCCCCTCAGCAGCCCCTTTTCATTCACATAAAGCTGGGTTTGTTTCCATTTATCTGCTTGACTTTGCAGCCAAGATGCTGTTAGAAAAACATATTGCTCTAATTTAATCCACATGTGTATCCCTAGGACAGAGTCGAAAAGGAAACTTCAGGTCCTGAGTCCCAGACCCAACGCCTCTGCCCTGTGGCTGTGGCAGGAAAGGGCTCCGGCCTCAGGACTGACCCCGACCCACCTCTCAGGGCCCTCGCTGAAATGAGTCCCCACCCCGCCTGTGTCCTGGGCAAGCAGGAAGAGGGGTGTCTTGGGGAAGGAGACTCGAAAGTTGGCTTCTGTGGCCTGCTCCCTGCAACTGCCCACCACTGAGGGGACAGGGTGAGACGGGGTCAGTGCATGAGGGCTTCAACTCCTATCAACTCTTCCTACTCCGTTTCTCAGGATCAATGTCTCAAAACTCTGAGGCAAGCAGGGGTGACAGGAGGCAGTTTATCCAATCATGTGGGGAAGATGCTGTCTGCAGGACCGAAGCCACAGATACCCCGGGGCCAGGGCTCTGCAATGTGCCACAAGACCACATAAGATCTTGTCCCAGACGTGTGGCTGCACGTGAGGCGTGGTGTAGGAAACTTCAGCCCCACCAGAAAGCCAGCAGGGAACAAAGCCAGAGTGCTCATTTCAATACTCTCTTCCAATTCTACTCCTGTCACATAACTTACTTCAAATATAATTATATTAGTTGGAGGAACTGATTGCCAAAAACTAGAAAACCGAACTCACACAGATGTTTATTCACTACAGGGATTGGGGGCACAACACTGAAAGACAGAACCGAAATGCCTGACTTTGATTCAAGGTCTAGGGCCCTTTTGGTAGCTTATGAGTCAAGATCTTGGTGAATTAATCCATGCAGAAATAAAGTTCCTCCTTTCCCAGGCTCACCACCTCCAGAGTCACTCCCTCTACTCTTGACGTTCACCGTCCACTTGGTCTGGCCCTGATCTCTAAGCAAAGGCACATTTAAATGCCCACATCTGAGGAAACTGATGTCTGAGGTAGCCCTGGAGTATTCACACAAGCAGCTTACATCGGGGACTCTCAGGGATCCTGCTCCCCCTTACAGGCCCCTCAGCTGGGAAGGGCCAGGAATAACCAGCTCTCAGAGCCCATCTGGGTGGTGTCTTAAAGGGTGCTTCTGGAAAGACGAGCAGATCATAACCTGATTTTTGAATTGTACTAACATGTATTTCTATCCGAAAAAGCAAAGGAAATGAAAATACTATCTGAGAATGTCAGTCCATTTACTCTCCACGGATTGGAGAACAGGCCTCATTCATGTCTGTGACTGGGCAGCCTTCACAGGGTTCCCTCTGCCAAAGGCAGAGAAAGATTCCCTAGGGGCTTATATTGAACGCTTTGGCATGGGCCAGGCTGCCAGGTACTCCCCTCAATCTGGACAGGGGTTCAGCTGCGCACCCAGCATGCAGCTATCAGGAGCTTCCTCCTGAGGTATGGCAGCACTCCCTCATTCTGGGTTTTGCAAGCACGGGTGTCTAGGCCAGGCTTGAGCTGTTCTGGTTCTATGGGAGTAGCTCAGCCCAGCTCCTGGCCAATCCTTTGATGGACCGACCCCACACGCAGAGAAGCTAGCAGCCAATCACAGTGGAAGCACTTAGCAAGAACCCAGGACCGTGAGCTGGCAGAGAACACAGAGGTCCAGCATGCTAGACCAGCACATGTTTAGCTCCGAGCCAACGTACGGATCCCAAAGTGAAGGCCTCGGACTCTGCAACTTTAAGCTCACCTCACGGGAGGTGAAAGTAAGGAGGTCCCCAGATGCAACCTCAGAAACCAGCCACAACACACGAGCTCCTGGAAGGAAATCCAGCTCACACGAACCTCAGACAACAGGACATACATGTCACTTTCCCTCTCTAATTGGGGCTGGGCTTAAATTTCGGTTTAAGCAGATTTGTCCTTCCAAGTTCCAGTGACCAGTTAAGATGAAACCGCCTTTCAATATTCCCGACGTTGATAACAGCAACACAAAGGTGGGCCAGGTTCCCAGCTCACAGGCATCCAGGCCGCCCATGCTCCTCTGATGGAAACTTTCTTATGGTTTGACGAGAATTTAATGTGATTCTTTTTTCCATGAAGGGCTGGGCCTCTAGACCCAATGCTATATAGTTACCCTGTAATCTTGGGGCTTAATCAAAACATATTCCAACAACCGAGCCTGGTGCTACAAATGAATGTTTATTTTCAAACAATTTGCTATGGCTTTTATTTTTTGAAGAGAGAGAGAAGATAATTTCTCGGAGCTAGATTTCTCCCTGCCCCTAAGCAGTTCTCTCCGCTCAAAAGGCTGTGTCATATGCTCAGGTCGTAATTAACCACGGAGCTAGCTGTTTGGGAGAAAAGGGACAACAAGAGGGCATTTGACAAAGAGTTAACAGATGTCATTTCGGGGGGCGGCTGGCCCACTGCTGCTGGGTCATTTGTTGGATGGAAGCTGATTTTGCTGCTGTTGTAAACAGAGAGTAGTAATAATCATATGCGCGCTGCATTAGGCATAACAGATTGGATATATAACATTCTGTTCAAAACGAGCTCATACCCTGTCTCTCTCGAGATGCAATGGAGACGACCCTTAGTTCCTAGTTTTGAAAGCCATCTCCAGCGATTCTTACAGACTTTCCAACAGAGAAAGAGGTCAGGTTCTTTCGTGGCTAATTCTGCTGAGGTCCAGGGATGGCAGAGATCTGATCCAGAATGAGCACGGGCGCACTTCAGTGAGCCAGCCTCACCGCACCGCAGAGCTGCCTTTTGCCATTTGAAAAATGAAAGAATTAAATTCAAAACAAACAACTTCAATTTAACACCAAACTACAGGATAACCAATCTTAAAAATGTCACCGCGTAATGGATCTTAATACCCATAGAAAACACAAAAAAACAGCACCATTGTTCCCCCAGTAATGCAGAGCAAGCTCGCAGAATTTCAGTGAAGGAGAAAGAAGGGAAAAACACCTTATTACTTCCAACCCCTGCGAGCCATTTTGGTCTCCAAAGGTTTTAGGCTGCCGGAGGCCGTGTGTCTGCAGTGTTTCGGGAAATGACTTGCCTTTGCACGAACGCTGCTCTGTTCTGCAGCGAGGCTGCTTGCCCTGGAGCAGCGCCGCTCCATTTCTGGTTAACTCTTCCTTCCCGGGCCTGGCGCGCGCGGAGGAGCTGTGCAGCCGGCCGGGGCTGGAGGGGCAGGGCCCAGGGACGCCAAGGCTCTGCAACCCGGCCTCCTGCAGGGCAGCCAGGGCTCATCCAACTAGGAGCAGCTTCTCAAAGGTGGTGGCTCCTGCAAAAAAGCCAGCTACCCCTTAGGTCTTTGTAGAATCTATTCTTAAACTGCCTGTCATAAAACACACAACACACGAAGCCAGGGGACAGCAGTGGGGCCTCGCGGGCCAAGACTGCCAATCCAGCTTCTCAGGGTCCCCTGTAGGGAGAGCTTATGTCTATGCCACAGGCCCAAGCGGGAGTCTTCTTCTGGTTAGCACGGTGCGAGCAGGGTCCAGTCTGCTGCAGGGCAGGGACCTGGGCCTGAGGACACTTAGTCTCATCCCCCATCCCAACCCCGCCCCCAGACAGGGACTAGAACCACTTCCGCACAGTGACAGAAAACACGCTTGTGCTGCACGTCTGAGTGGGGAGATGACAGAAAACCGCTTAA